ATGGCCCAAGGGACAACAAGCCTGCTGAGCAATACAGTGTATGCTATAAGTGATGCTACTAGTCAATTCAGCAAAGCTGCACATAAGGTAGGTACTTGGTTTTCTAGATTGCTGTAACACAACAAAACTAAACCTTTTCCAATATTTGAACTGCATCTCAACTTGCAGGGTATTGTTGCCTTCACGTTTGACGACAAAAATGCAATGATGATCGAGAGGCAGAAGAAGGGAATGCCATTGCATAGCAAAGGAGTAATAAATGAATTTCTGGAGGTGTATTTTCTTGTTCTTTTTTTTTTTTCTCTCTCTTTCTGTGTGTAGAACTAGGGAATTTTGTAACACAGTTTGAGGGTTGAATAGTGAAGATTGTGTTTGTTTGTTTGTTTTGGCTTAGGGACTTACTGGTGTGCTCCAATCACCAATCAAGGGAGCTGAAAAGCATGGGCTTCCAGGAGTTGTTTCGGGTATAGCTTTGGGCGTTACCGGGCTTGTGGCAAGACCTGCCGCTAGTATGCTTGAGGTGACTGGGAAAGCAGCACAGAGTATTAGGAACCGTAGTAGAATCCAGCAACGGTGCCATAGGGTCCGTTTGCCGAGGCCTTTAAGTGCAGGCTCCCCTTTGAGGCCTTACTCCTGGGAGGAAGCTGTTGGGTCGTATGTGCTCAAGAAGCTAAAGGAGGAGGAAAAGGATGAAGAAGAAGAGGAGAGTTTAGCGATGTGCAAAGCACTTAAGCATCCCGGCCAATATGTATTGATCACTCAGAGGCATATATTGGTTGTTAGGTTGAGACATTTTGGTGAACCGAGTTTCGAAGGGGTTCCAGCTGACCCAGAGTGGGATGTGCTGTCTCGGATAGGAATGGAGAGTGTAATCCTTGCGGATAATGATAGTGAGGTGGTGCATATTGTTGGAAGTGGTTTAGATACATCATCATCGTCGTCGTCATCATCACCTCATGGTAAAAGGATGCCATGGAAGAATTTTCAAACTCCACTCCCTCTTTTGCAGACGAACTTAGAGTTAAGTTGTCCACAAGAGGCAGAGAAGTTGTTGAGGGCAATAAGGTGTTTGATGGAGACGGGAAAAGAGAAGGGGTGGGGTCGCTCCATCTATATTGTGCACCAGACTAATATCAGGTGACATAGAGCAATGCCTTGAAATGCTTTCTGATTTGTGCAAGTGTATATGTATATATAACAAAAGAAAGAATCAATGGCCTCTCTCTCTCTCTCTCTCTCTCTCTCTCTCTCTCTCTCTCTCTCTCTCTCTCTCTCTCATTGTGTTTTGTATTATTTGAAAATTGTAATGTAGTACAAAACTTTTAATAGCTCAACATTGTGATATATATATATATATATATATATATATATATTACACTTGATTAAATGCGTTATTAGCGGTCTCGTGGCGGAAGAGTATGTTTTGGCTATTTATGCATATTTTTGGCTATCTAATTATATTAGTCCCGCTCACCTACCACAGAATACGTTTTTCATGTAAAAAAAAGTGAAGGAGAATTGATTTTGTCAAAATATGAACCTGACTAAAAAGTATTTATGCTATTTTAATGGCAAAATTTATAATTATAATTACTCGAGTTGAGCTAATTTAATAAGAAAACCGAGCTACACTTGTTTGCAAACAACTCAACTTTTAGTTCTATTTTTATGGTCTCTTGAATGAGACACTTTTTATGGAGTCTTGAATGAAAAAAACAAAACCAAACTTGGTCGCAAATGATCAATTTGTGTTGGTAAATATATTTAGAGTTTTGGGGTTATAAAATGGACGGATCAAAACCTGGTTTTTCCGAGTTTATACAAACCAAGTCCTCTATTTATTTATTAAACGAGTTGAGTTGAACTGAGCGTAGTCGACTCAGTTATTAATATTTATTAAACGAGTCGAGTTGAGCTGAGCGTAGTCGATTCTTTTATTAAACGAGCACTGTGTTCAAACAAGATGTATTCCACTTGAATAACCATAATGTCTAGCCAAAGAAAGCAGAAGAAACGGTAATTGCAAGCACTCGGGCAGAGACTGAAACCGACTTTCAGAAATCATATTTAAGATACCATCCTCCATATTTATATTATATACAAAAGGTGTATCGTGCTTATTGCAGCAGTCACTTTACAAGCTAATGGCAGGCCATGAACCCTCCAGAACTTCCACGTCGCCTAACCTCACTGGGCTTCTTCTATCTTCCTCCTGAGGAACACCAAAGATAAGGAAATAAGTTAATATATATCCACCAATCACAACAGGTCGGTTTACGGTGATCGGGGCTATGCATATCAATGGACAAAGATGATTAGAACTGTGTGAAGTGCAATCAAGTTTCAAAAACGACAAGCAATTAAATGTAAACTTGCATTTTTCGATTTTGTCTGCCAGAAAGTTTCATCAAACCCACAAGCCGAATGAAGCAATTTTGCTCCATGTTTCACGGCCTCTTCATCAACCAAGACTCTATCTGCATGATGTTCACCAGGTTTTGTATCTGGGACCTGGGTTACAAATATGATATATAAAATTGAGGTAATATGAGACATTTACGGACTTCATCTGTACCAAGCAGTAAAGAAGTAAAAGAAAATCCAAGGGTATATGTTTAGTTTCACAACTCGACCATCAGTTTTAAACTGCTTTTCCAATCAGAGTAAGGCCATGATTTGTAGCATGAGCAATTTTTTTATTTTTTATTTTTCAATACCTCAAACATAGCTTCTGTCAGAATATTTTCTAATATAGCTCTCAGACCACGTGCACCAGTATTCTTGACTATTGCTTTTTGAGCAATCAATCTCATCGCATTGTCTGTGAATTCTAAATTGACCTGTACTCAGAGAAATAACAGAAACGCTTGTTGTACTTGATTCGTTTAAGTATGGAACAATGTACTTGCAAACAACAGGGTCAACCATAACTTACATGATTCATGCTGAATATCCTCTTGTATTGCTTACATAGAGCATTTTTAGGCTCAGTAAGAACCTTTGAAAAGAGAAGAAGGTCAAGATCCAAAACATCTCAAGTACGAGTAAGGAAAACAAAGGATTAGAATTAAATCGCTATACAAATGGCTTATACTTTCACTCTCTTTTTGCAACCAGAATTATATTTACATCTTTGCTTTAGCTATCAACATGTTACGCATTGGTATTCCAGAATTTGTATTTTCACCGAAGTGGAGCTTAAGGTTTTGAGTTAGCTTAAGGTTTTGAGTTACTCTTTTAACTCGTGATTGAACTCTCAAATGGAGTTGTTTGCGCCAAAAAATATTTAATTTTGTAGACCAAATTCTTTTAGGCTACGTTTGGATTGAGGAACTTGATTTGGAATCCTTTGAAATTTAAATTTGCTACTTCTTGAATCGATTTGTGGAAAGGATTATTGTCTAGCTTGCAAGCGATTGTGTTGGCTCGCGGTGGTGATGAATCTAAATAAGATTCATACTCGCGGACGGTGTGGACATAAACGGTGGATAAACAGTGGATTTCAAATAACTATTTCAAAACTAGGTTTGAGGAGTCGTTTAAAATACTTCAAAAGAATGACTAAAGTCTATCTGGCGAGCTTCTGTTATCATCCGAACATGTCCAAACATGTGTGGGGGATTAAACTAAATTTGAAATATATAGATTTAAAATTCTTCAATCCAAACATAGCCTTAAGGGATTTAATGCATCTTTAAGTCAAAAGTGCACCACGGACGTGTAAAAAAATGTACTACCAACAAAAGATTTGTTATAGCAATTTAAATACCATCCCATACACGAAGGTACTGCGGAGTTGATTTCTCGTGAGAAAATATCCAAGGTGAAACAAGAAATTCAGGGAAACCAGTAACAATTGGAATACAGGAAATAAAGCTGCTATATGTTCTCGATATCCAGGCAGTTGTAATGGACAAAAGGCCTATCAGTAAAGGATTTCAAAATACAATCAGCAGAAAGGTGCCAACAACCAACCACTTTTGTTTTATGAACTTCTATTGATAAACATGTAACAATTTACCAAGGAAGGATTTACTTTTGAATAAAAGATTTTGCTAAAAACAATTCCAGTAAATTTGTATACTTTGGAAGTAATCATGAGGAAATTATATAGAAATTAAGTCTATTTTGTGGCACGGATACATATTCAAATGAAGGTTACCTTCTCAGAGGTCATACGTTCTTACCAGAAACAGTATTGACCTCAATTTACATTTCTTAAACCCGAAGTGTGGAAAATATTAGTAATTTATTTTTTTCCAAAAGTTCAGAAAATGGTTTTGATGCCTGAAACCAATTCTCTTTTGAAAGAGTTTCAACCAGCATAGCTGCAAAAGACACACACAGATGCACAGGCAGAAATGCAGGCCATTCAAAGCTTATGAATCACACATATGATGCCGATTTTTTTTTTTTTTTTTTTTNNTTTTTGTGCCAACGTTAAATAGTAAGCACACCTTAATAAGTTGGTCCTCATCAAGAGCCGATAAGCTCACGACAACAGGAAATCGTCCAACAAATTCAGGTATAAGACCATATGCAGTAAGATCACCACTCTCTACCTGCAATGTCAAACGGTCATGCCATACCTCAGGTATATTGAGACACAATTGTACAATGTGAAAATTCTGACAGGACAGAACAAAATATGATTAAATATAGACAATCATCGCTCACGTGTTCTAATAGAGATGAGGCTGCAGCGGAATTCAACCCAGTAAGTCTCAAATTAGCGCGGATAGGTGCTCCAAAACCTATAGAGGAATCTTGACGTCTACGAAAAGCAGTGAATAAATCCAAAAGTAGGCAACTATAACAGGTTTAGTCAGTCAAAAGTATTGTACTACCTCTCAGAAATGGTCTTCTCCAGATCAACAAAAGCTCCACCACAAATAAAGAGGATATCTTTTGTATCTATCTGACATTTAATGAAATGAAATGAAATCCAAATAAGTTTCTTTGCAAGAGACTTTAAAATACAAAACCATTCATATATATAACATTTTCGTTTGCAGAAGAAAACTTCCATCCATTGGTGTCATGAATATACAGTGAATACTGCTATAATTCACATTTTCCACAAAAGGAATATTCAACTATTCTGCTCTAGAAAAACAAAAAACTAAGAGCTATTGTTAAACCATTGAATTACAAACCAGTACGTTGATTTCATTTAAAAACTTTTTTTGACTTCTGCTGATTAAAGATGATAAAAAATTCTAGATGAAATGAAACATAGGGTTTAATAGTTAGAGAAGTCAAGTTTTTTTAAATGATTTGAAATACACATGCTACTCAAGGAAGTTTAACGGTCATCTTAATTAGGTGGTAAGCAGTTGGGTAAAGTTTCATTTTGTTTAATCAATACAGCCTGACGGGAGATGGAATATTGTTACTGAGAGACGTAAAATGGAAGTGGTAAATATGGAATAAATAAGTTTAGCATGATGGACCACTCAATTTTAGAAAAGAAGAACTTTAAAGATATTGGTTGGTAAATTTATGGATCCTCAGATTCTAGAAAATTTTTTAAGGATGTGGCTTCTTGATTATAGGACCCTGATCACTGAGGCATTGGTTTCCTCACCCTTTCATTTCTTATCTATATATATATATATAATTGCTAGCATATCATTTAATAAAATCTATTTAATAAAACATCATAATTTTCCCGCCAAAAACCGTATAATTCCATTTCAATATCTATATCTATAAATATATATAATTACAAACATAAAAAAATTAATAAAACTATTTGTTGTTTTTCGCCTTTTTCCATTACAATCCAATATTATTATTATTATTATTATTATTATTATTATTATTATTATTATTATTATTATTATCCATTGATACGAATCATAAAGATTTCCCTCTTTTGATTAATTTGGTGTAGTAATAATTTTAAACTAATTTATTATATAGTAGTACTACTAATACTAACTAATTATAATTTTACATTAAAACTTATGTGAAAACTTACATACTTATAAAATTTATATTGCAAACTTTTTTCTTTAATATATTTATTTTACAATAAATATTATTTTTTTATCTTCTTAAGTGATTTTAATTAGCTAATTGGTATGAGTGTCATAATTAAACTCCTTAAAATCACATACACAGTTGTTATAACAATAATAAAAATAATTATAACACTTTTCTAACTCATTAATTGGATAGTCCCTTAAAGTTACACTATCCATTACATTTTATGCAATCAATATAACGGTTCATATGTAAGTAACATAGTTTACATTTATATTGTACATTTACATATAGTCAAAAATTTAAAATGTAGCACACACATTGTCTAAATTAAAATTTTAAATATTATAGACATACATATAATATATAAACTTTTATTTGCCTGGATGGAATACTAGTTACATTTTTATTAGTGAAAAGGTAATATTAGCCGACCACTAGACTGGTTGTAAATTGTTGGGGTATGCAGAGATTTGATCAGCTTGGGCAAGTTTATTCTTGATGGGAAGAAATCTGTTGGTGACTGTTAATCACGTCTTTTGTTCTTGTTTAACATCAATAAATTACTGTTTAACTACCAAACTGTTCCTGACTCGTTATTCCTAGCAGATACCATTACAGGCTACAGTTTTATCGAAGGGTGCGAACAAAGCCAGTAGAAACAATGTGAATGAACTAATTTATTTATTTTTATTTTTTTAAAATAAGGTATGAAAATTATTATTATAGTAGACCTTCGAATTGAAGGATAAAAAATGTACAAGCATAAAATTTTAGAGAATGCATCAGGTTCTGGTTACCTGAATGCTATCATGCCGTGAATACTTGGGCGCGCTACTGTCAGGAATACTTAAAACCTAGTAGAGATGAGCTATTATCAATATACTGCATTAGAAAAAATATTAGCAACGCTCTGCAAGAGAACTTGAAAGTAGAAAGGTAATGAAGGGAGCACAGTGGAAAATACAAAGCTCTTATATCGTACAATTTTAAAAACTAAAATACTGAGCAACTGATAAAAATGGAAAGCAAAGGAACACAAAAGTACTCACAGTTCCTTCTAGCATCTTCAGCAGAGCTTCCTGAACACCCTCTCCAGATACATCTTTTCCCATGTTGAGGTTCTCGGTCTGGAAAGAGCCTCCCGGAGGACAGTTCATCAAGAAACAACAAAAATTAGCTCCTCAGTTAATCACTTCAAATCAACTTATTTGAGATCTGCTACTACCAGACCTTCTTGGTTATCTTGTCAACTTCATCTATATAAACAATTCCACGTTGAGCTGCTTCAACATTGAAGTCAGCAGCCTGTAGACGTGATAAGATAGCAATATATTATACTAATACCTCGAGTAGGGGCTGAAAAAATGCAAACATGCTGATGCAATTTGACAAACACAGCACCAGTCTTGGCTCATGTGTACTGAATGAGTCACAAGTATGCCTTGAAACATATGCAAACAGGCAATATTTCAAAGATGTGTTTCAGTCTGGCTTTGGTTGCACTTTTGGTATTAATATACACTACATAATTGTGTGTCATTTCTTATAAATGGATCAGATGATTATAATTAAACACTAGACTTGAGTTCTTAAAATCTGCAGGTCTAGAAACCTAAATCTAAACACTAGGCCACTGCGATTATTCATAATCCTTCTTCCTTGATCTTCATAATAGTTCATCATGATTTAACACCTCCATCAAAAAAAATTTAAGAAGTACTCCATAAATAATCAAACCACGGAAGACGAATGTTTCATAGGACAGAAAAAACAATTAGATTAAGATTTAAAACTAGCAGACAACACTTATCATTTCATACCAGCTCGTTCTTCCATCATACCATTTCACCACATCTCGAGTTAAAAATCCCATAATTAAAACACACATGAATTCTATCTTAAATCTCTTTTTTAAGTCATTATTTTTATTAAGATGCACAAAAAAATTCACCAAATTTACCATGAGTAGTTTGTATAGAATAGATTCCACATCTTCCCCAACATAACCAGCCTGTAGACACAAACACACACAAAGTTAGTCATAAGAGTATCAAAATAGCGACACAGAATACAATAGCAAGATGTAAAATTACTTAACTACATCAAACCTGCCTGTGTTAGCGTTGTGGCATCAGCAATGACAAAAGGGACATTTACCACACGAGCTAATGTTTTAGCAAGAAGTGTCTTTCCTGTCCTTCAAGAAATCAGAGATACATAAATCATAATAGCACAATGATTAATTTTGTAACCCCTACAAACAGAACTGCTGCCACTCTGACCAAAAGCATTATATTCAAGTGTTTACAAAACCAAAACACGCATCATGCCTGAACCAGTTGGGCCGATCAATAAGACGTTGCTCTTTTCCAGCTCAACAACGTCGTCATCGAAAAATTCCAATTCAGTAACAGCATAGTCTAGTTTAGCACCTGACCTGAGATTAAAATAAAACTTAATGATCGACAATAAGTTGAAAAGCATCCTCTATAAAACAGGAAAGGAATCCACTAAGAGAAATATTTATCTGCAAGGTGACATCACCTATGTATGTTCTTGAGTCATTGAATGTAAAACAAATCATAATACAAAAACCAAGTGATATGCTTGCACATTCAAATTTTTATACTAGATAAGTATGGCAGATGAACCGCACGCGTACACACACACACACACACACACACACACACACACAAGAAACACAATTTCCTGAAGGAACTAGATATAAAGGTATATTACTCACTGGCTCTGCACCACTGGGCTATTTATTCTTTTGTAGTGGTTATAAACAGCAACGGAAAGCACCTGCCATGTGAAAAAAACTCATGAAACTCCGTAGATTGTATGTCCAATAATACATGAAACAAAAGAAATATTTCATAGGTAGCAAGTCGTCACAGAAGAGTGTCTCCATCACACCTCTTATCAAATCATAACTATGTAATATACGATACATATTAGTACTAAAAAAAATTTAATGTAGTTCACTAGCTTTATTATCATTAGTAAAAAGGTTCAGAGCATAAATAATCTCTTCAAGTTCAAAAACTATGCACCCTAGCATGATCTTTTCGAGAAGTGTCATTCAAATACAATAACCTCATAACTAACAGTTCTCTAGACCATATAAATATCCAAAACAATTTCAACTTCGGTATAAACATAGGTTTTATAAGTAATGGAACAATGAATTGCTATAAGCTGCATTATTTTTCCAATCAACTAACCATTCTATGCACTGAAATTCGCTAGCAATCATAAGTAGCAGGCTAGCAACAATATGGGACCTCATGATTGATAAAGCGCACACCAAAATTGCACAAGTCAGAGCACAGACATTTTTAAAGGCACATTCCATCTATTGTGGTGCCATCTAGCAGAAACTAACCCTACAAATTTTCACACCCCCAAACAAGTTCTTAACATAAACTCAGCCAGAAAAAAACAAACCTTTTTTGCCTTCTCTTGCCCAACAACAAACTCATTGAGCACTTTACATATCTCCTTTGGAGTTGGCAACTCCTTCCCTACTTTAACCATCTCCTCCACAACCCCTGCACTCTTTCCCTCTGAGTTTCCTTCCGCATTACAATCACCATCAACATCAGAATCACCTCTCTTTACATTAATCTCACCGGAACCATACGACTTTAACTTCTCCCAAATCTTAACCCCATTTTTTCCACCTTTCCCCATGCCATTGCCCTCCATGTCCGCAAAATTCTCTCTCCCACCCTTAACCCTTCCAATCTCTATGAAGCTCCCCTGCAGTGGCTCCAGCTTGAACGGCCGGAAATAATAGGCCGTCCGGCAATTGTAGCACATGCTAACTGCCTGGTAAATCCCGTTCTCAGTGGCAGTGATGGAGAGAGGTCGGTTGGAGAAGAGCACGGT